GCCATCAAGTTGGTGCCCTTCCGAGGGGCACCAACATGGCGGCCGTAAAGTGACAGAAACATCTGTCATCGAGTTTTGCCATTGGAACGAAAGATTATTACTCTAGAGTTCCGACCCATTGAAAGTAATAATTCTTCTATTGCAAGAGCCGTTCAGTTAGCAAAAACGTGAGCGATAACTCCTCTTTTGATCTAAGCGAAAGCCCCCTCGGGTCACTATTTTAATGCCACGCAACGTAAAAACTTGGAAATTCAAACGTCCTCTGTAATAAAGTGAGGAACCCTGTCGAGCTTAAATGCTGTAAAACTTCAAGTTCTTAGAAGGTCTTCTATCTGATCAAACTAAAACTTCAGACGGATTGGTTATTTTTAATCAGTTGGAAAATGATAACATCACATGAAAACCGGTAATTTTCTTCTAATAAACCATTAGCCTACACGCAGCCTAATGCCGGGAATTTTCATGGTATTTTATTTCATTGTTTTAGACGAAAAGCATAAAACGCAAGAAAACTACAATAACACGATTTCTGCTGGAAGAGAAAGGTACGGTGTACTTTATATACGTTAGAGATAACAGCTGTGTTAGTTTAGACGGAAAGATATTATTGAAGCTCTGTCGGAGACGAAATTTTAAACAGTTGTTAACTAAGACGTGTCCATGAAATGTTGGAGTTACTGAGAAAAATCATTCAAGGCAAGAGCTTTGAGATTTGAACATTACAGCTTATTAAGGCGGATGATAGCTTTTACAACGCTTAACTTTGATTAATTATTTGATACTTCAAATCTATATCTATAAAGGAAGAAGAATATTATCAAACAAACGTCTAGTTGTTAGTGAGCAAGTTGTGATCACCTTCTCCAGATAACGATTAACCAAAATTCAGGAAAACACTGTGAAAAGCGATCAAGGTTAACCCATGCATTGTTTATGCATGATTGAACAACGATTACCATGTTCAGAGCCGGGACTTTTTCATTGAAAACCTTTGGAAGAGGTCCAGAGAAACCAAAACAATTTTAAAGTTTGAAGCCGTATTAACTAATATTCATAGATAATAACGTGACCTTAAATCCCTCCTTCACAGTTGTGTAGAGGCGGAATCCCCTGCTGACCATAAGCTGACAGGAGCTATCTGCCATCCGTACAGTGCGCATGCACAAAAACCACACAAAAAGGACGTTAAGCCAGAAGTCTGTAGATCTATTCTGGGAAATGAGCTCTTGTTCGCCACACCAGCCGAGCAGGATTGGCGTGAGAACCTGTTCGTCACTTACACCATACGTTTCCGAGGGGCAGCTGGACAAGTACCACGCATGCCTAAAACACCCAGGCAACTGCTGACCAAGTTTTGTTGGCAGCTCATCGTGCACATGTACTGTCGATTTCTCTTGCCGAAATGTGACATGACGTCATCCAGACCTCGGGCCCAGCCTATCTGCCGGGAGGCGTGCAGAGAATTTAAGAGCCACTGTCAACGGGAATGGACTCACGCGCAAAGGAAACACAAGACTGTATCTTGGAAAATTCAGCAACTCGCTGCGGGTGTAGAAGGAAGTTATTCGCTCATGTGGTGCAAGAATCTGCCCAGACGAAAAGGAGGAAATATTCCAGAATGCTACTATCCTGAAATTTTGAAAGGTAAGTAAACTATTTTCTAGGCAGGTTTGCAAAAAATAAATTAAATTTTACAAAACAGTCAAGTTAAGGAGGTGGGAGGCGCGGTGACCTCGTGGTTAGTGCGCTCGACTCCGGAGCGAGCGGTCCGGGTTTGAGCACTGGCCGAGGACATTATGTTGTGCTCTTGGGCAAGACACGCTTTACTCTCACAGTACCTCTCTTCACCCAGATGTATAAATGGGTACCGGCGAATTTAATGCTGGGGGGGTACCCCTGCGATGGACTAGCATCTCATCCAGGGGGGAGTAGAAATACACCTGGTCGCTTCATAATACTGAAACCGGGATAAGCTCCGGCCTGAGAAGCCACTTGGCTCAGAATGTAAGGAAAACTGGAAGCTAACACAAACTAGCAATTCCTAAAATGCAACCTGTGAGATGAATTTAAGCAACTTCTTCCGTGTTGGATTGGAGTGAAATTCTTTCTTAAAACCAAAAGGTGCTTCCAAATTTTTACATGAGCATTGCAAAGTTTTGGAGGCAGTTTGAATTCAAGCGAAGGATGTCATGTTATTTATTTCACTAGCAAGCCTTGCACATAAAAGAAAGGATTATTTCTGCGTCTGATAGCCCAAAAACGTGCGTGTTTGTCCAGGGCCGATCAAAACGGGCACGAAACATATGGCAGAATTTGAAGAAAAGAACGTAAAATTAGACAGAGTCGAGAGGCTAACTCAATATGCAGTACAAGGAATACGGTGGATTCCGGCATATTGAAGCCAATTTCACATCTGTCACTTTTTTTTTTCACTTAAAGCTGTCGCTGGGTTCCCTGTATTGTTCATTTATTTTTCCCGCCGTTTAGTTCCCGCGTTTAAGTCACGTGATCTTTTCGAGTGTGCATGTAAATGGCGAACGTCGGCAAACGTTGTAGTTGTGTATGCGATTCACTCGAAGTAACGACGGATAAGACGGATAAGACGGATAAAGACGCGGACGATTGATGGAATTATGTTCAAGCAAACAGGAGCGTCTTATTGGAGTGTTAGTCGAATTAAAGTCAGTGAACTAGAGTGAATCTTGCCTATTGAAACCGAGGGAATTGGAAATTGGCCCTTACAAAAGTCTTAATTCTATTCATTTAACTTCCCTGTCCTTCACTCTTTATCCTGCAGAAAAATCAGAAGATCCCCCTCCAATAACAGGTAAGTCAAGTTGCCTTATGAAATCCTCTGAACCGCGTACCACGCTCAATCTACTCAAATCTGGTTCTAGGACTGAATTGCTGTCATTCAAGGACCAATAGAAGATTTTCCAAAAACGTATATTATCGCTTTGGTTGAACAGGCTCAGTGAGTTTCAAAAACAAAGGTCTCTAATGCCAATCACAAAGGTTGAATCGGTGATTTTACCAAACTCCTTATGAATAAATATTGTTCACCCAATTTATATACATGTGTCTCTTATTTCTTTATTTCCTTAATGACTTTCTAGAAGTCTGTAAATCTCGACTTCTCATATATCTGAGTATCTCAAGGTTTCAAAATCCTATAAACTCGTTAAATGAAAAACAGACTATTTAATATCAATTCAACAGATAACTGTTTCCATAGCGACGGTCAGTCATACCGTGGAAATGTATCCGTGACGCAGTCAGGTTACACGTGCCAGTCCTGGACTTCCCAGTGTCCTCATCGGCACCACAGAACACCATATAACTTCCCTGAACTGAACAATGCAGGCAATGCATGCCGGAACCCTGGCGGTCAAGCCCCTCACGGTCCTTGGTGCTACACAACCAATCGAAAACAAAGATGGGAGTACTGCCGAGTGGAAAAGTGTGAGGCACGCAAAGAAAGCGAAGGTTTGTTTACGGAGAATGTTGGTGGTTTAGGCATATACGACTTGGCATGTCGATGCCCGTCAACGAAACGAATAGCTAGGGACGACAGTAAGCACAAACTTCGTCCCACTTAAGAAAGGGCTGCATGACCCACTATCAATCAGTCTCTAAGTTTAGCAGTGCCATAATGGCACTTATGAGAAGAAGGAAAGTTTTAAAGCACGGCTTAACCTAATTCGCTTGTCTCTTATCTTTCACAGAATAGACCATGAATAATTGCATATCCTCCGTCAAGAAGCTGGACATTGGATCCATCGCCGGCACCCAAACTAACAACGCTGACCATCACCTACAATGGCTCCCTCCCACCTCCTCCCCTGCAAAAATATTCACTGTGACCAGCCAAAGATGTAAATAAAAGTGCTATCAGTTAACAATATTTGTGGCCTTATTTCTCGATCCAGACACTTCTTTCTCAAAATACCCACTTATCACTCACGTCTGATTAAATTTAGCGTTATTTTTTAGTAGCCAAAACCTCTATTAAGAACTCTTGTTATAAACTGAATCAGCCGATTGAAAATGTATGTGGAAGTCATTTTGCTAAGCCTTGCATTGAATGCTGATCTAGCTTTAATGCTGCGGCCATATGATGTCATAGTAGCAAGGCTCGTTAATCAAACCTCGTTCCCAGGGAACAAAGTCGTCGTTGAGCGGGAAGCCTGAACCATACTTTGATCGGTCTCGTCACGATTCTCGCCGAGAAAGCAGAACTAAGACGAGTAATGATAAAAGTTATTCAGTGGTAAAGGAGTTGTTATTTCTCACTCAAGTTCTGCCCGTGCCTAAGAAGTTGATGTACGACTTTTTCAGATATCTTGACTCAAACCCGTAAATTAAAGTGACGTCACTGTTTTGCCTGCATCACGAGAACAGAAACTAGGCCTGGGAATTGCAAAAGATCTTTTAGGTTCTTTTTTTCACTCAAGTGTTTGCAGGCGTGGTGGCTTAATGGTCAGCATGCTCAACCGTGATGTGCTCTTGAGCAGTACCGGTGAATTTAATGTTGGGTGTAACCCTGTGATGGACTAGCATCTCATCCATGAGCGAGTTGAAATACTCCTAGTCGCTTAGTGCTACAGGACCCGGAATAAGGCCCGGCTGTACGTGTTATATGGCCCAACGCAGAGTTTGCATTACCTTTTCAGGTAATTAATTCGATATTTTGGTTCTCCTACTTTGCAGGCAGAACAACTTTCTGCTAAAAAATGCCACGAGCATAGGCCAAACACGAGCGTGCATTGCACTGTCATATCCCATTATAGAACTAATATAACAAGGAAAATATGTAGAAGAAATACGATCGGTTTTTGTTTGAAGATAATTCTACTCATCTTTCAGAACGGACTCGTCGACATCCGGGCCTATTTAGAAAGCCTATTTAGAAAACCGAATGATTTACTTGATCCCAATGCTCTAGCCTTAAAGTGCACCTAACCCCAAAAATTTTTTTTCGCTAA